TCCGCGTGGGAGACGCTTCCCGCTGGAGTCGGTAAGGGCGCCGCGCAGCAGCCGCCCTCTGAGGAAAACTGTTTGAGAAGCTGGTTATTCAGATGGGTGGGGGGCGTGCGTCTAACTGCTGCAAGGAAAACTCGAGATGTGGGTGTTGCCGACAGGGACGGGCAGGCAGGGCCTGGCGAGCGTGAGGGGGACAGGGGAGTAGAAGCGTTCTGCAGCTTCACGTTTCTCAAGCTTCATTTAAGCCCTTGCTAAAAATAAATGTATTTGTTTAAATCCCATTTGCAAAGAAGCATAAGTCATTAGCAACACCTAATACATATCTTTATACTGCAGCACTGAAGCAAACAGCTTTCAGGGCCAGCTGAGGTTGGGGTCAGCTAACAGGAGGTCAGCGGCAGACAAAACCAATTAATGGGTCCCTGCCCCTGATAACCCCCCCTCGACTGCTCCCCATCTTCTCCTACCTCCTTCCCCCCCAAAAGAACTGAGAATATGGGGCTGCAGCAACAGAACAGTAACAAAGTGTCAAGGGAGGGAAGCTCCTTCACTATAAAAATCACAGCCTGAATTTCACTCTGGAAAATAAATTCAAGCATCGGCATCTTCCTACACAGCCCAGCAAATATACTGGGTACCTCAACAGAGCATTCAGTCATGAAGGCTGGGGGCAGTTTCACTATATTAAACATCTAGATTTTTTTTTTTAATTTTTTTTTTAAGAGGTCTGATCAGCATTTCACATGATAGTTCTAAGTTGTTCTAAGTTGCAGGTTATTTACAAACAGATTTGTACCCGGTCTCTTACTGGATGGGGATGACTACTAGATTATTCTCTACAAAACCTACTCATAAAAGCTTCGGGGGGGACATCACTATTAGAACTCCAGGTTCTAACATCACCGGTCCAGAGCTACTGTGGAGGAGCAACAGATACCACTTCGTAATCATGACTGCATTATTCAGCAACATAATGCAACTGTTGTACGTCCTCCAGTAGGGATTTCAAGGAGCAAGTTAGTGTAGTATACTGACCTCCCATCATCACCATCAGGACATACAGCACCGTAACATTCAAGCAACAAATACAAGCACAAGTGAGGGGAGGATGCTCCTTGAGTCATGCTGCTGTGTATAAGACACTGCACAGGTATTTCATGGGTTTGATATTTCAGTGTAACATTACAGAAGCAGTACAAACGAGCCCATGATAATATAAAATACAAAAAGATTGAGAACATTCTTTCTAAGTCATGTCCCTCTTTCGGGTAGCAATTATGCATACACAGAAAGGACAGCTTTCCTGACTCTGAGATGCAGAGCCTGCAACACATATGAGCAGTGTATGATACCAATGACTTCTAGTAAGTACATATGCATAAATGTTTATATAAACAAAAGCATCAAAATCATACAGCATCAAAACTTCAATTTTTTTTTTTAACTTGGGAAACCAATCAGTATTTTTAAATCAAACATTATTTCTTCATTATTTTTCTTTAGCTAATGTGTTTTTTACATTCTTTATTCAGGTCTCCATCCATATTTCAGATTGCTGAAGCAATATTTAAAGTATTATCAAGATCATTCACACTTGGAATTAGAAAGCATACAAGCTTATCTCCAAATTCCTTTACAGCTCTGTAAGACCTTTTCAGTCATTTGCGCTTAAAACATACAAACATCTGCTGTTAGAAGACAGAAAAAAGTTATGCAAAACTACATATTAAAGAAACTTAATACAGTTGACTGGGATTGTCTTTTTGAACAGCATGATATTTGGGGGCCCATTTCTGACAGATATGGAGAATTCTCAAATTCTGTCAACTTTGCAAGTTGACATCATGTAGCACTATGCAAGAGACAGTCATTTACTGTCAGAATTAAAACTATAGCTGCTCCTGCCCAATTACCTTGAAGAGAAAGTGAACAGACATTAACCTCAACAAGATCAGCTCTTTGTCGTGGAGGAAAGCAGCGGAGGAGCTATTTAATACAAGGATACAGAGAGGATCCAGACTTCTGATGTCTAGGTTACACGTAGCTTGTTTAGCAAGGTATGGATAAGTTACAGTAAGTCCACCAAGGTTCACTAAACATTTTTGCAGCACTCTGATCAGAATATAGTACTCGTTATGCAGGACATGGATATTCCTATTTCACTTTGCATGTTAAAGCTTCCTTGCGTACAATTCTGAAAAAATACATTGCAAACCGTGCCCAGATCCATTCAGGTAGGCGCTCACCCAGCGTGAACTGTGGAGAGGCACAGGAAGACAAGAGAAGAGAAAAAGAAGAAAGGAAGGGACAGATTAAGATATATTCCATTAAAGTAAACAAGCAGTTTCTCAAATTACCACTAAAGCAAGGCAAAACCTGCTTGAACATCAGCAACTAAGCCTTAAATTCAACCCCCTGGAAGAAAATATATTTAGCCATTTTGGAAGTAGTGCCCAGAGCTGAACAGTTAGGTTCTGCAAATAAATCCTGAAGTGGTTTGTTCAAGTTCACAACAGCAATACTGTCCACTTCCTCTAATTGCCACATGTTGCCAGAATCCTTCCCATCTCTTTTACTCCTTTTGGGCTAATCCCCACTTCTTCAATTCCTTCTACTCGACCTAATGCTATAGAAAGCCATAGGTAGGACACATGAGATGTGACCAACGTTCATAAAATTGCTTTGGAGCCCACAGTCTGCCCCCCAAAAATGAAAACCTAACATACGGAGGACCTGCTTCCAGGTATCGGGATAAAAATGTGGGCTTTTTTTCCTGCTATTATTCCATCCTCCCTGCCCAGTCTCCCCCAAAGCAGAAATAGGCTTAATAAATTAAGATTGAAAAAAGCTACTTCTGTTCATAGAAGACAGTGAAATGCTTGCCTAGTCAGCAACACCCCAAATGAAATGAGATACTCTGTGCTTTTGAATAAAAAGTTGTCTCTTTGCTGTTTTTGCTGTGCATTTCAAGTGGGAATTGGATTCACTCTCTCATTCTAAAAATAAGCATGCCCGAGCATAATTTTTTAAAGCGGAATTAGTGAGAAAATGTGGCACAATGCCTTTAAGTCCTACAATATATATTGCACTTTTTCAGAATACGAGCATAGTTTTCATTCAGACTCCTAAGAAAGTAAACAGCTTATTTACTTCTGTTGACAAACATGAAATAGTTTAATGAATTGTTACCTTTATTGCATGCTTCCAGTAACCAGTAGTCCTTGTGGATAACCCAAGAGTAGAAATAGCATAACTTGCATAGTCTTCAGCAGAAGGAAAAAAGAAAGATCTCTCTGATGCAACGCTGCTGCATGCTACCATTTTTGTAGCAATTATGAATGGGGTTAAACTCTGAACAAAAATTCCTTTTGAGGCATACTCATAATGTAGTGCTCTACTGAAATAGTCCAAGTAGGTCTAGAAAGACAAAAGCAGAAAGAGACATCTTTTTTTTCTTTCTTTTTTTTTAAAAAAAAAACCCAATCAAGTCTTAGGGCAGAGTTTTATTAAAATTACAGAAAAGTTGTAGCATATTTTGTGTATCAGCTAAAAAAATAAAACCTTGAATAAATAGGATAAAAATACACATTTCTAAAGCATTACCAACATTTCTATTTGTTGTTATTTGCTTGCTAAAAACCTGCAACAGTACAGTAACTTGCAGGACAAAGCGACCGCTTAATTCTCTGATGTGAATTTAACAAACAGACAATTTCTGTTTAAAACCAATACAGAATCATTTATTTCATCTAAAACAAACACCTTGTTTAGTTTGGGGGCATTGCAGGGGACACCCCAAAGCTAACTATACATACTACTGTCAAAAGGACAAAATGAAGTCCCATTTTTTAATACATTTACAGGTGAATTTCACACTCAACTGATCTTCCCCAGAAGCTAGGTTAATTACTTCCTGCAACTCCCTTGTGCAAAATTAAACATGCATTTGTTTATGTGTATCTGTATTATCTCCTTTAGTTCGTTTTACTTTTACAGAGTAACAAAAAAAGCACAAGCCTGATAACTGGGATTGCTGGAATCAAACAGGGAAATGAGCATGGCTCAGTGTTATCAAGGCAGCAACACTGATGCCGTGCTGAAGCTACTGCTGTGCCACACAGCCAGTTACCCCCGAGAAAGAGCATTTTAGACTCAGCCTGTGAGCAAACAAGTTTCTGCTCCCAAATGGCCTCGCAAAAGCTCCATTCCCAGCAAACTGTTGGGAGAGCATCTTCTACAAATGCTCTTAACACCTGTTTTAGGAAAACAAACAAAACAAACCAACTACTTCAAATACCATACACTGTTAACGCACAAAGAGGCTTAGGATGCTAGAGCAGCTTGTTCCCATTTCTGTGCCAATGTAACTGTACAGAGGCCAGGCTTTAAACTGGATTGCTGATCTAGGATTTGGATTAACGATGGCAGCTAAAGGAAGAAACTTTGGTACCCTGGGTTTTGTTCTGTTCTTTTTCATTCAGGCCTTTTAATTGTTTTAGTTCAGAGTGCAGTTCTGCATACACTTAGCATAACCAAAGGGGCAGATACTCTGCAACAGAAACAGGAATCTTAAGCCAGTTTCCACACTGGAGAAAATCTGCAAGGAGTTTTATACCTTGGGGTAATAAGAGCTGGTTTTACTCCAGGCCAAAGGAAGTTCTTGCAAGAACTATCCCAGGAGCAAGGCTGCACAGGGGTTAGGCTAAAGCAGAGGGCAGCCACTGACTCCTGGGAGCGATAACAATTTGTGTTTAGACACCAGATCTAGGCGAGATCCTTCGACAGTCTCAGTTGCTTTTGTGGATTCAGCACCAAGTCATCCAGTGTAAATCTGCATCCCCACGCGCATTCATACTTCCAGCATCGCCCAGCTGCCCCATTATATTCATTATTGACTGGATCTCCTCAGGAAGAATAATTATGGGGGGAAAAGTTCTTTTCACTTCTCCCCAAATATGGTACAGACAATGGTGTAAGAAGCCTTCTGCCCCTTGGTGTTAGGTGAAGCAGTGGCTTGATTTGGCCACAGCCCTTGTTACAGTGGTGGCTTGAGCATGAGTATAGCCCCTCTTGCTACCAAATACTAGTGTGCAAGTAGCTTGAGGTATGTCTGCAGAGTTCAGCTGAAGAAAGGAGATTAAATTCTTGACCCTTTCAATGGGTCATAGAACTGCCACTGCTTTGCACATCATTCCTCTGAGGAAGGTAACATTTTTCCTAGAACTACTGTTACGCCACAGTTCACACATAATCCAAATAGCACTGACTTTGGTTCAAAGTCCAGTATTGGTGAGGATAAAGAGTTTGAACAAATCCCTAGAAAACTTTCAGGTATATTTTGATATCCTTGCTGAACGTGTTTACAACCAACCAACCTATAATGCATCTACTTTTCAGTGCATACCATTAAACATCACACCCAGCTTACTTTAGAGGCTCCGTAGATTGTCAACATTGGTGTCGGCTGACAACAGGATGCAGAAGAAACATTCACAATTGCCCCTTTCTTCTTCTCTACCATGCCCGGCAGCACAATATGTATCATCATGTTAGCAGAAGCAATATTTATGTTGATCATGTCCCACAGCATATCCTCAGAGAGGTTGGTAAAATAGTCTGGGTAGGGATAAAATATTCCTACATTATTCACCAAAATGCCAATTTCTCTGTCTTTCAGAGCATCCTTAATGGCTGGGTAAGGCTCACGCCCCTTGCTGAAGTCAGCTACTATGAAATCTGTTTCCACTTTATAGGTTTCAGATATGCTTCTAGATACAGCCTCCAGCTTCTCTTTGTTTCGGCTGATTAAGATGATGTTGACACCACGCTTTGCCAGTTCTTCAGCATATGCCTTTCCGATACCATCTGTGCTACCTGTAATAGAAAATAAAAAAACAAGGTGAAAATCGGAGCAGCCCCAGCCTTCTCTTTTGCCGGTTCTTTCAATTATAGCTTTATTCCCTTCTCTGAAGATCATGTGGCACTGAATATGGTGATCTCAAAACCACAACAATAAAAACAATGTTGTCATAGAATCATTTAGGTTGGAAAAGACCTTTAAGGTCATCGAGTCCAACCATTAACGTAGCACTGCCAAGTCCACCACTAAACCATGTCCCTAAGCACCACATCTACAGGTCTTTTAAATATCTCCAGGGATGG